CATCGCACTTAGTACGTGGCCTAATAAAAAGAGGTTGTAAGAAATTATTTAGTGAATGACCAGATGAAAAATAGGGTTGTGCTGTTAGCACAGAGAGGTCCAGTGGAGATTCACACAATGTTGGTATGGCCGGCTCCTGTCCAGGGAGCACAAGCCTTGTGCTCAGGGCTCTGCTGGGATCTTCTGATGCATGATCTCATGTAACCTTTGCAATGACCCCACGAGGAAGGTATGTCTAGAATCCCCTTTGACAAAGGGAGAAACAGAAGCCCAGAAAAAGCAGTGACTTATACAAGGCATGGTGCTAAAAAAGGGGACTGGGGGGTGCCAAACACCAGAACCCCAAGTCTGTTTAACTCCAGAGGACTTGCATGAAAATGGAGGCTCCTTCAACAACTCTGCCTTGAAGGGCAGAGAACGGGGCAGGAAAGACTCCTTTGGGAGCCGAAGTGGAGAACTCACTGTCTCAAACACACCCGCTCTGCCCAGCCTTCATTCCATGCCACCACTGATGACTCCCGTGACTTCCAGCAATGCCAGCCGCCCTCTCCAGCCTCCTCCGGTCCTCTGACCGTCGGCCCTGACTGAAGACACATTATCATCCACATCTGGGACCTTTCCGCCTCCTCCCCTGGGGTGAACTCACAGAGGAAATCTGAAAATACAATCCAGGCTGCCTGGTAGAAAGGAGACTTGGGTTTTGCCAACACAATGTGCAGTAAAAATATCTCTCTTTTAAAAGAGAGAGAGAGAAATTTAAAGACTGGAGATCAGTAACATGTAATTATCATCTGGTTTAGGAGGAGAGTTCTAATAGTTTCCAGAAAAACACAAGCCATGAAAAGGAGAGGACTTTCCAAGGCAAAAAGGGATCTGGGCCCCAGCGGGCAGTGGCGCCATCTTGGAAGCTTTGCGGCTTTGAGCCCCTTCTCCGGTGGGGTGAGGAGGCAAGCACGCCCCTGACTCACATCCTCTCCTGCTTTGTCTTCCACACGGGCAGGGAGGCTCTGAGAACGCAGAAACTGTCTTTGAACTTGGCCTCGTGGGGCTGAGCACAGGAGCTGTGGAATAAACAGGCTCTAGGGGATGGACACACCTGAGTGGCCCTTCCTCGGGGGCGGGGTGGGGATCCTTATTCCTTCCTTGGGGGCACAACAGAGCCTTAAAATGGCCAGGATAGTTCAGTCTCTGCCAATATCTGCTTTCGTCTATTTTGAAGTAATAGAGCCCCAATTTCAGCCGGGCACACGGCCTGTAACACAGACCATTTTTCCAAGCCTCCCTCACAGGTAGGGGCAACCAGACTACCAGTGGAATATGAGCGGAATGCACGTGCAACTTGCAAGATACATTCTTAAAGAGCAGATATCTGCCTTTCCTTCTTTATTTGCTTCCTGCTGGAGAGAATGCAGAAGTGATGGCTGGAACTCAAGCAGCCATGTTAAGCATGAGGCAAACCAGGAATGGAGCCCAGAATCACAGAGGAGCAACAAGGTAGAAGGACCCTGGGTCACCACACAAAACCTGGACTACTTACCAGGAGAAAGAATGACACACCTGTATTGTTTAAGCCACTGATATTTGGGCTTAAAGAGAATAGTTCTAGTCAAAAGTAGCTTAGAAATCTCTTAAATTAAGAAAAGAAATAAAGATAATCCTTAAAGGCAAGAATCCCACTCAGTATGGTCAGATGCTCACGGCAGACAGACAGACTCTTGGCTTCACCTGCAGATGTGCCACAGGATGTCGGGAAAGGTGGAACTCACCTATATTAAATTGCTCTTTCTCTCTTGCTCCTTTTGTTTATTTGTTGTTGTTTTTTTTTTTGTCTAGTGCATAAAGTCATATTGTAAAGACACATCACATTTTCTAACTCATGCAAATTTTGTGAGTATGTACTACATGTCAGATAGAAATGCTTTTCCATATTTATCGTCTTTTTTTTTTTTTTTTTGAGACAGTCTCACTTTGTCACCCCTGGTAGAGTGCCATGGTATCATAGCTCACAGCAACCTCAAACTCTTGGGCTCAAGCCATTCTCTTGCCTCAGTCTCCTAAGTAGCTGGGACTACAAGTGCTCCCACAACGCCACGTTATTTTTAGAGACAGGGGTCTAGCTCTGGCTCAGGCTGGTCTTGAACCTGTGAGCTCAGGCAATTCACTTACCTCGGCCTCAATTATCTCTGTTGTATAGTTTTAAAAAAGAGACTCAGAGAGGTAGTGATACAAAGTTGGGGGTGAAGTGGCCCCAGCTTAAAGAGAACAAGACAGAACTCTGGTCCAGGGAACACTCCCCCCGCCCCCAGACGTGCACCTGGCACTTTGCCACTGCAGACTCCTAGAAAGGACTCAGAGGCAGCACAGACGGCTCCCTGTGGCTTCAGGATGGAGGGACAGAGACCGGAAGGGGTCACCCAAACATAGTCCAGATAGATGGACACTGCCCATGACGGGCACTAGCTTCATCACTGCAACACAAGGGTCTTTCTAGAAGCAAAACCTAAATCCCTCAGTCTGACCAGTAAGCCCAGCAGAGACCTGGGGTCAACGCCCCAGCCCGGAGCCTCCACACTAAGAGGCCAGCAGCACGGCAGGTGACCCGGGCACGGAAGCCAAGAAGCTTCCAGGGAGGAAAGGGGAAGCCCGAAGAGCGCTGGAGGCAGATGGCACGGCTAGCTGTGTAGGGGACAACATTGAGAGGCCAGGTCACATGAGGACGGAGAACTGACCGTGTGGTTCACCTGCCTCCCTCCAGGGAGGATGAGAAAAAGAACAAAGTAAAGACAGAGTGAATAACAAGGGGCGGGGAGTGGTTATGAAGGAGGACCGGTGGCACGGGCGGGGCGAGCATGCCTTGGGCCCAGAGCCCTCCGCGTCCGCCGCTGGCCCACGGGTGGGGGTGGGGTGGGAGTCCAGGGGGCCGGAGCCAAGTGTGTGAGCGGGCGCCACCCGGTGGCCAGTCCTGGCACTGTGCCCCAGCCACTCGCCCGGCGCCGCTCTCAGGGAGCCCCTCCCGGAGGCCGCCTCCGTCATCTCCCTGACACCCCCAGCAAGCTGGCACTTAAAGGGTGATATTGTTATTTCACATGGAGATACACGTTTCTTCGATTTACGTAAAGGGGAATAGGATCATTCCTGCGGTTGACTTGCCTCCCACTTACTGGTTCTGCACCTACAAACTCAAGGAATCACCTGGGACCTCAAACAATCTTCGCCTTCCAGGGCCACCCCAGATCTACTGGCCTGAACGCTGCCTGGGCGTAGAGATTCTTTTCAAACCCAAATGTGCAGCCAGAGCTGAGGACCCGGGCTCGAGGACAAACCTCAGGAGCCCTTTCCGTGCATACTGGCTGCTCCAGAGCCCCAAAAATGCTGGGGCAGAGGGGTCCCCAAGGAGCTCGGACTTCTGCAAACTTTCCCACCCCTGTGCCTCTGGGACGCAGCTCACATCTCTGGACCCTCAGTTCAGGAACTTCTGAGCTGAGTTCTCCATCCCCTTGGCCATGGCCTGGCATGAGGCTGTGGTACTTAGTTTCCCCTCTGTAATTAGGAGAACAGTGGCTCCGCACTTCGGGCATCGCCGCCCCACATTTTGGAGGAGGACAGCGCCTTCAGCCTGTGGCCATGCTACAGAGTGCTCATGGCTGTGGAGGGCACTGGGGGCTCTGGCCAGATGACCCATTTAGACTGAGCACTTTATTCCTCACCACGACCCCCCGAGGCGGGTACTTTGATTAACCCCATTTACACAGGAGTAAACTGAGACACAGTGAGGTTAAAAAACTAGCCCAAGGCCATACGGTGAATGGTGGGGTCTGGATTTCAGCCTGAGCAGCCTGGCCTCAGGCTTACATTTCTAAGTACCAACCGGTACAGTTCTTGGTCATCTTTGCAAAGTTCACAGAGGCAGGCAGATTTTTAATCTATGACTTTGCAATTACTAAGCAAGCGATGTGGTCTGTGTCTGGGCGTGATTCACCCGTGACTTTAGGATGTTACAGATCAGGAAACACCACTGTAGAGCAGACAGGACTAGCCACCGACTCGCTGTGCGGCCTTGGACAAGCAACCTTGCCACTCTCGCCTCAGTTTCCCCTCTGAGGAAAGAGGACAGTACTGGCTTCTACCTGGAGATGAATTGCAGGAGCACACAAGCTTGGACGGCACGTGGTAGGTGCTCATTGAAGCTTTTGATACTGAAACAACACCAGGGTGCATGCCCACCCAAATGGGTCAGCCTTTGGGTAGGGGTCTTGGTGGGCTGCATGAAACCAGGAGGGTGAGGGAAGTCCTTGCCCCAGAGACCACTTCAGGGGACGCTCTGGTCTCGCCCCATCCAATCCTTCCAGCCCAATCCAGTCCTTCCAGCCTTCATCAACTCCGGCCTGTAGGAGGCACTTGTGAGCAATACCTTGGCGATAAGGGATTGGGGAAGGGATTTAACATCAGGTAACATCATTGGTCTCTCGGTAAAGAGCATGTCAGCACATAAGAGCATGTGACGGGAACACGACGTCATTGCATAGCAGTGTCCACACCTGTGGTGTATTACTTCTATAAATAACCTCAGGAGAAGCAGCTGCGAAAACTAAGATGGACAGAGTGCAGCTGAGATTGCTGCCGAGATGCTCGCTCCTCCTAGTACTGACTGTGACTTCTCAGGTGCTTCAGCACCTGAGACCAGAATGAGACCCGCCCCGAGGAACCTGGTGCAGCAACCCGCGTCCAGACAGTTGAGTGGGCTGGGCTGGAGACCTAGCGTCCCAGCTCCGACGAAGCCCTGGGCTGGGGCCAGATACACGGCATCCTTCGGCCCCTACACGGGCCCATCTCCATCTTGCTCATCAACACTGCTTTCAATTTTTTTTGTTCCTGAAAGCTGTGCACAGAAGTTTCATTTTCTTTTTCTCCTGAAGGCTGATTTGGTCGGGCTGACTAGGCGTTGGTTTCTGGTGTCGAAGCAGTTGACATCTGCCCTGTTAAAGCTGACGTCGCCTCCCTTGTGGGTTCAGAGCTGCCAGAGCACCCGGCTCCACCACCTGAGGACACTCAGCCTCAACCCAGCCGCCTTCTCGAGGCCACACAAGTCCACCAGGCTCCCTACAGCTGCTGCCAGCATGGCTGAGCTTCCTGCTGCCCTGGGGAAAGGAGGTATGTCCCTTCTTCTTTCAAGGGACGGTGCTAGTTCCCAGGCTGGGATTTCTACCTCTCTCTTGGGCTTCTTTCCTTGGCCCAGATAACAGCAACAGTGACAACAGCAGTATCACAAAGAACAGCTATAATGAGAAGGGGACAAGGGACAACGTACCAGGATGGTACATTCCTGTTTCTGTTTTAAGATACAGTCTCAATCTGTCACCCATGCTGATGTGCTGTAGTCTCATCATAGCTGAGTGTAGCCTCAAACTCTTGGGCTTAAGTGATCCTCTTAGATCAGCCTCCTAAGTAGCTGGCACTACAGGTGTGTGCCACCATGACTACTTTTTCCTATCTTTTTGTAGAGATGGGTGTCTATGTTGCCCAGGCTGGCCTTAAACTCCCGGCCTCAAGAAGTCCTCCCACCTCAGCCTCCTAAAGTGCTAGGATTACAATCCCCAGCTGCAGTGCCCAGCAGCCATCCTGTTTTGAAGACTTACCCACCCTAGCTACCAGGAAACATGTTTTATTTGCATTTCACAATAGCCCTCAGGGGCAAGTGCAATGTTGTTCCCATTTTATGGAGGAGATGACTGAGGCCCTGAAAGGTGAAATGACTCTCTCAGGGTGTCACAGCAGCCTAGCATTTGTGCTCGGGTCTGAACACCATCTCATAGTCAACCTGAGAAGTGACGCAAGTTGCTTTGATAGCATAGGCACGTGCCTTTCACCGCTTTGTTGTGTTCTTTTCTCAATTAGTGTTTTACCCCCTGGAGGAGCCGCAATGAGGGCTGACAAGGATCAAGCAGTTGCTGCTCTCTAGAGCCTCTGCTAGGTGCCTGTAGGCTGTGGGCTGAAGGTGGTTTGTGGGTTTTGTTTTGTTTCGTTTTTCGTCTTCACCACAGTCTTTAGCTATTGTTATTATCCCCATTTCACAGACAGGGAAACTAAGGCACAGAGCAGTCACATAGACGAGCCAAGGGTCAAACCCAGGAATCCAATGATTAGATAATGAAAAAGAGGAAAGGCAAGTGTACCCAGAGGGGTGATACCAGGGAGAGGCTCCGAAGCTCTGGCTGGTAGCCAGGTTCCTGCTGCATTTCCTCCACGGGCAGGGCGTGCAGGCCCAGGTCACAGGGTCTCTGTGACTGGGTCTAACTGCCTTTTCTTGTCTTCTTCCCCAGCTGATTTTCCTTTATTACCCACTTGTCACCTACATCTGCTTTGTCTCCTGACTTCCATTTTCAGACACAGTCCCGGGGGATGGGGGTGGGTCGGGGCTCTCGGGGACTCAGTGGGGTGGCTGAGGCAGCCTGCCCCTTGGGCTAGTCCTCTTCTCCCATCTCTGACCCCACCTCTCCTTTAGTGGTCAGTGGGGAAGAAGATCCCTATAGGGTGGGCTTTTTCAGAATCAAAACTCTTTGCGGGGCATGGCAAAGCCAGGTGGACAGTCAGCTGAGTGGGTCCCGGCTGCGGGGAGTAGGGTTTGGTGGTTGAAGGGGTGGGTGCTCCTAGGTCTTTGAATTGCTCTTCACTTGCACTCTGAAAGTGTGCAAACATCTGTGCTAGGGCAGGCTACAGTGCCCAGCTGTGGAGTTGGCAGACCTATTATCCCTTCCCCCGCAAGTGCTGTCACCACGGAACCCAGACAGGCCAGAGAACCCTTTGATCAGGAAATAAAAATCCAGAAGGCAGAGGATTGAGTCACTGTCCTGGAAGATGACCCAGGTCTTCCCAGAAGTGGCCCTGCTTCACACTTCCCTCCAGGTTCTTGGAAGCACGATCTTCCTAGTGGACAACGCCCACAGCCACTCTCCCCAGCTGCCGGCTCCTAGGAGCTGCCTCTGCACTTTGTGTCCCCTCCTGGCAGAGCAGCTGTTTTTGATTTATTGATTTTTATTAAGTGAGGTGATTTTTAAGAGCCTGTCCTGGGAGGCACAGTGGCCATTCAGAGACTTCCTCCTTGACTTTGGTGGAGGCCTGCCTAGGGCTTCTGAAACTCAGACCAGGAAACAGGTGCACTTACCAACAGGCCAAGGAGGTGCTGCCGTGCCTTGCCCCCGCTCAACTAGGCAGACATCTGTCCTAGCAGAGGATAAATCCACTCATTGATTCATTCATTTATTAACCCAGCCACTCATTTATTCAACTGCCATTTCCTGAGTACCTACTGTGTGTCCAGCATTGTGCTAGACCCTGAACGTACGGCAATGAATGAGGCCAGCACAGGAGGGGATCCTTGGGGACATTCTGTAGGGGACCCACACACAAGCAGCATGCCACTCACTCTGGGACATGGAGGACAGCTTCCCAAAGGAGATGGCATCTGAGCAAGACCTGGAGGTTGAGTAGACATTGGATAGATGGAGAGGGGGAAGAGTGTTCCTGACAAATGGAACAACATATGCAAAGGCCCTGAGGTAAGAGGGCTGGAGGGAGCACAGATGAGCTGGAACTTAGGGACAATCAGGGTAGTGAAGACAAGACTTGAGTGGTCAGGCCTGGCTGCTGAGTGGAGTGGTCACTGGAGGGAACACAGCTGGAGCCAGGGGCCAACTGGGAGCTTGGTTGTGCCATCTAGGAGATGGTGACATGGAAGTGGGTAGGAGGGTGGAGAAATGCAGTGCAGGGTATAAGAAAGATCAAGGAATGGCTTTTGTAGGACTCCAGGATTGGGCATAGAGGAGAGACCTGTTTCTGATATCTGCTGGTCCTAGCTTGGATGAGCAGCAATCCCACTGGTGGGTCGTGAGACTGAGAGTGGATACCCCAGGGAGGGTGGGATGGGGATGGAAGACACGTGGCAGGTATCCCAGGTAGGATCGGGTCTCCCTCTCCCAGTCCTCTCCATCCCTCCTGCTCTGTCCTTCTGCCCTTGACTCCAACCTGAGAGCTGAGAATTCCCATCTACCCTCCATCCTGTGCCCACACTAGGAGGCACAGAAGGCCCCAGATGTCCAGCCAAGGTCATTTCTGATCTTCCCAGGTACCTCTCTCTGCTGTTACTGGTGGGTGTCTGCCCAGGTCTTTGCCCACTAGATCCGTCTCAAGGGGGCATATCCCCTGCCTCCTGGAGCCTCCAGCCCAACCTTGGGGCTCTGGGGCTCGGTCCCTCTCTCTACTCCTCCCTCCCTCTCTCAGATGACCTTGAACAGAAGATTCTGCAGGTACTGAGGGACGCTAGCTCCCCTGTGAAGACTGTCCAGCTGGTGAAGGAATGCCAAGTGCCCAAGAAGGAGCTCAACCGAGTCCTCTACCAAATGAAGAAGGAGTTGAAAGTCTCCCTCGAGTCCCCAACAACATGGTCTTTGGCCAGGGGTGGGCCTGAAGGTGCAGCTCCCACAGAGATGGCCCAGCCCAACCATGGTAACCCACCATCCTGGGGGCAGGTCTGCCCCAAGAGAGCCATCCTGGCCATGAACAGCCTAGACTTGAGCTTGGGTTCGAATCTGGGCTCTGACCCTTGAGGACACACATGATGCCTCCTCACTGGGCCTTGGTTTCTTTTCTGGTTAACAGAGATGACAATCCGGCTACTTCGCAGGGCTTGCAGAGAGGATCAGCTCAGGGCCCAGCCCCACGTAGACGGGCACATAGCAGGTGCTCAGCAAAACATTAACCACAGAAATAAGGATGATGACAATAGAAGTGTCCCACTAAGCCCCTTTTTCTAGTTTTAGAGCCCACAGAGGAAAAGAGCTGATACCTATCTAGCACCTATGGGGGGCTGGGAGCTGTACCCCAGGGCTTACCTGGTCCTCACACAAGCGGGGGCAGGTGGATATTGTTCTTCCCCTTTTTCTACAGAATAGAGAATGGAACCCCAGAGAAGTTGATTAATAGGAAGCCGAGCAGCTGGAAAGAGGCAGGGCAGGGTTTGAAGGCCGGTAGTGGTAGCAGCCTGCTGCCATCTCCTGCTCCCCACCCTCTGACCCCCCGCCCCCTTCTCTCTCCAGCTGAGCAACAGGAAGGCACAGTTGCAACCCCAGAGCAGCCTGGCCCTGGGCTCAGTGAGCGACGTAAGTGTCTTCATTTCCTCTCAGCTCTTCAGAGCCTTCCCACAACCCCCAAACCCTCCTTGAGGAAATGAGATGGTCTGAGTGTGCAGGGGGCCGTGTCCCACCCACCAAGGGGCTCCCACACAGTGTCCAGACGCAGTAGAGGAATCTAAATGGCTGCAAAATTATTTCTCCTCCCAATAGTCGACCTTGGCAGTGCACCTGCCGCTGCCAGGCACTGTGCAGGGCACTTATGCACATCCCTGGTCCTCGGAACAGCCTCTGTGGAGCATTACTGTCACAGCCATTATCTGTATGCCCATTTTGCAGACGAGAACACCAAGTCTGGAGAGGTTGGGTAGCTATCCCAGGTCACAGAGCTAGTTGGCCAGCGGTGGGACAGATTCAAGCTCTAGGGGTCCTCCTTAACTGCCTGTCAACCCACCCGCCAGAGGCAGAGATCTTCAGGTATCTGAAAGACAAAGGGCCCCATAACGCCCTGGCCATTGCACAGGCCCTGGGAATGAGGACGGCAAAAGAGGTCAACCCAGACTTGTACAAGATGAAAAACAAGCACCTTCTGGACTTAGACGAGAAGTCAAAACTGTGGACAATTTATCGACCAGGTAGGCCTTCACCTGTTGTCTGCCCCTTGCCAGGGGCCCAGCAGTAAAGATAACCCCCTCGCACCTAACTCTTGCTCCTTGTGGAGCACTCTGCTGGGCCTGTTCCACCTTGTCAGAACCTTCTGGTGAGGTGGTCCTGCTGCCAGTTCACTGGAGAGGATCCAGGAGGGCAGCTGGAGGGATTAACCAGGGATGGCTTTCTGGAGACCTGGTCCAAGGGCCGAGGCTACAGAAGGCAAGGGGCTGAGAGGGAAGGTGTCTCCAAATTCCATTAGCTCTGGGGTGCAGGGGCTCAGTCTGAGTTTGGTTACATTTTGCTGTGAGCGCTTTGCCTAACTTGGGGTTTTAAAGTTTACAGAAAAGACAAGGTTGGGCCCAGATACCTGAAGGGTGGAGCCCCAGGGCTGGCTTGTCAATAGGGATGTCAAGAGCAGGGCTCAGAGCCTGCAGGGCATTTAGGGGTCCGTGAAAATGTTTTAACGTCAATGTCTTTTGAAATCAGAAGAAGAAATGAATATTATAAATATGATGAATATCTAAAAATGAAGGCAGCTTAGCCTATATTTGTCTTTGTCCCGACATGATCATAAAATGTCATTTAAAATACTTTTTATGGAGGAAAGGGTCCACAGAGGCACGACATACAAGGGCCCATGCAGGGGCGAGTCAAGGCGGGTGCCTGCCCCAGCCCATGTAGAGCTGTGTTCACGGTGCCTGGGGGGAGGGGGGGAGCGTCTCAGCATCATAAGGCTACTTGAAGAAGTAATAATTTGTTACAGCAGCCAGACTTTAAACGCTGGTGACAGATTCAGATCCTTACAAATGTCATGCGAACCAACATGACTTACCTGGCCTTTGCTCGAGGGAGAAGGGGCACCTGTGCTCTGTGGTCATGGTTGTGGTGCGGTGCCCCCAGGGAGAGAGAGAAAGGGCGAGGAGAGCAGTGCAGGGCCCCTGTGGTCCTCCCAGCAAGCACTCCCGGTGGCTCCGCCCTGGCGGCAGTGGAGGACGCAGGGGAGGGTCATTTCCCATGTGATTTCTGAGGGACACTCCACCTGAGACTCCTCTGGCATCTGTTACACATGCTGGTTCTTGGGTCCCACTTTGAACCTATTGACTCAGAAGCCCAGGGATGGGCACTTGGGAATGTGGGTTTTAACAAGCTCCCCAGGAGAATGTGGTGATGCTGACTAGTATTTGGAACCCCTGATCCCTAGAGAGGTGCAAAGGGATAAAATGAAATATTTATCTGCAGAAGATTCTGGAAGAAGAAATCAGTCTGCTGAAGTTATTTACCAGCAAAACGCAGTCAATGTCTTCTACCAGAAGGAACCACACAGCCAGATTTTCATTGCAAACTCTAGCAACACCCAGATTGGACATGGGAATACCATAACAACACAAGTAGCCTCTGGGGAAAATGGTAAGTTGGCTGAGAGACACTCAGGAGATGGGGCCTCAAATGCCCCCACCCCACCTGGCTGAGGAAGGGGCTGAGGGGAATCAAGGAGAAAGGCCCACCAAACATCCAACCTCCAGGATGCTCCTTTACGGCCTCCCTGAGAATGAGGGCGCCTGGATCAAACCTTTCCTGCTTTCCCTTCACTCTAGTACCTTCTGCCTCGTTTTCAATGAGATGCTGTATTTTGCCGTGAGAAATATCTTAATTCACTCTCCCTGAGCAGAATGTCACAGGTGGGATTTTATTTGTTCTAAGACATGTTACCTTCTTTCAGATTTTAGTAGCTTGGAAGTTGGGGTGCATCTTACCATCAGTGGCACCCTAGTTTTGATAGAATACAGTGCTCTGAGTGCTTTCTCTATCCAAGTCCCTGTGGCACAAGGGGACGGGCCACCTATCAGTCCAGTCATGTCACCCAGGAAAGCATCGGCCCAAAATTCGGATCACTTCCACAGCATTGGAAAAGCCTTTCCCCACTCTGGGCCTCAGAGCCCCCAACTGTGAAATAAAAAACTTCAGAATCTAGGTCATTCTTTCCCCACGTTTAATCTCCTCAGCTTCACCTTCCCAATTTGGGTCACTCCATGTCCAGTTACATATTTAATGTTGTTCACCTTTTTTTCCTACTGAAATTATTTTTTTTTAAATTATAGCATTACCTTAAATTGAAAACTGACAATCACCATAAAAATAAATGCTGGAAAAATAAAATGATACTTGAGGCACTGAGCCTTTGGTGTCAAAAGGCATTAAAGAAGTTTTAGCACCAAAGGAAACTTTCTCTTGATGGGGTTGGAAGGATTGAGCACGACTGGGAATCAGAAGGATATGCTCACTGTTTGGTTTGCGAGTGTGTCAGCAATGCCCTGGCACCAGCCACAGTCATGGAAACTGGTGGGGACCCCACAGGATGTGTTTTGCTGGGTCCGCTGGCTCTCTAGGCCAGGATCTGGATGATCGGTGCCCAGTCTGATGGTGTCCGGGAGGAATTCACAGACCCATCTCCTCTGTGCGGCCAGGACTTTGCGTGCGTGCATGCATTTTCTCTCTCTTTCTCTCTCATTGGTGAGGGGTGGGAGTAGGGGTCAGAGGATGGAGAAAGAAGCCTGTTGTCACCTCCAATAAGGTTGTGCTACTGTGTTCCCCTGCCAGGTCCTATAGCTCCGCCACACCTCCCTCCAATGGTGCCAGGTGATTCTTCAACTCCGAGTGCCTGGAGCCCCCAGGACATCCGCCTGGAACAATCCCTGCTCAGACGGGTACAGCTGGGACATGGCAATGAAATGAACCTCCACGGCATCCCATCTGAAGGCCAGAGACGTACACTCTCAAGAAGCCCCCCAGGTAACCAGGACCTAGTGCCCAGACCCCCATCCCCACCCCGTTCAGCAACTCACTGGAGGAACTGGCACCAGGGCCTAAGGGGAGAGAGGCATGATGGGAAATTCCTTTCCTTCCACCAGAAGGCTGGACCACAGAGTAGAACAGGTGTGGCTTTTCCAGCTGGCACTCTGGGTTCCCACCCCCTGAGGTTTTCCACAAGGAACCTCAGTTTCCTCATCTGTAAAATGGGCGTGCCTCCCCCGGGAAGCAGAGGCTGGAGAAAAAGGAGGGCAGCAGGGATCCTATGAGAACCGTCTCTGGAGATGGGAGAGAGGCCAGTGAACTTGGGGGTACATGTGGGGTTCAGCAACAAGGTGTCATGTTGCCCTTTGGGGGACAGTTTCTGAGAGTAAGGGAGCAGAAGGAGTCTAGGGAGTGGGAGGGAGTAGGACTGAGTTTGGACTTCTGTTGGAATTTTGGGTGGGATAAGAAGGAGCCAGATGGCAGAGGCTGAGCCATAAGGATTTCACTAGAGTGGGAGGGGCGGGGACAGTGTTCCAGTGCACAGAGGAGGGACTGACCGTGTCCCAGGGGAGGACACCAATGACTGGGTCAGCTGGGCTGGGCTCTGGGAGCAGACCTAGCTGGCAGAGAGAGACAGCAGCTCAGGCAGGTGCATGGTGTGGCAAAGGTGTGGCAGTGTGACAAGGTGAAGGCCACCAACCTAGTAGGTCCAGATGCAGGAGGGAAGTGTGGAGAGGAATCAGCCGAGGAGGACCAAAGGCCAGGTGGGGATTCAGGGCTCACGGTCATTGTGTCAGTGCCACACCTGTCTCTGTGACCCACAGTTTTTGCCACTGCTGATAGCCCAGAAGCTTTGTTTGAAGTGAGAATGCCTGGACCAGGGCCTCAGCACGAGGGGGACGCAGTCCAGAAAGTCAACATCAAGAATTGCCTCCTTGAGGATGCCTGTATCGGCAACAGCAACAGAATGACCGTCCAGCCAGGGGCAGGAGGAGGCGCGGGGTCTGGAGATGCTGGTGAGCTGGGCACAGTGGGGCCCCTGTGTGTTCTCTCTCTCCCCACCTCTGGTTCATTTATGCAGTCAGTCAACAACCATTCACTCGCCTCTTGTCCTCGGGAGTCTGGGCCCCAGCAAAGGGGATGAGCTCTGGAGTTAGAACATCGGGTGTCACATCCCTCTAGCTGAGGGACTTAACCCAAGTCCTGGAACTCTCTGAGTCTCTGCGTCCTCACTTGTTAAAAGGGTGTTGTGCAAATAGCCAGCAGCGCCTCCTACAGGTGATGCTGGGATGATGCAAGATAGTCAGGCAAAGTGCTGGGCACATACATGTTAATTGGTTAAATTTGATGCTTTCTACAGGTATAATTCAGGGCACTCTCAAAACAATTTTCTACTGTAGCCTGCTACAATTACAGCAGTAACATCCAACATCACTGACCACAGGTGACCAAAACAGATATAATGAAAATTTTGAAATAGTGTGACAATTACCAAAATGTGACAGAGACAAGAAGTGAGCACCTGCGGTTGGAGAAATGGCGCTGACAGACTTGCCCAAGGCAGGGTTGCCACAAACCTTCAGTTCTTAAAGAACCACAGTATCTGTGAAGTGCACCAAGTGAAACTGGGAAGGCACAGGCTTCAAGGGGAGCCGGGCTGCAACTGTCCCCAGGGGTCAGGCAGGCCTTATCCTGAGAGGCAAGGCCTGGGCGATGTGCTTTGTTATGTTTAGTGAGGAGATGGCTAGTTGGAGAAACCCACTGCTAGAAAGTGCTGGTCCATCCTTCTGGCCCCTTGAGGGGCTTTGGGGAGCCCTGGGATGGGGCTTTCAGCTGTTCAGCACTCATCCCTCTCGCTGCTGTGAAACCCACACAGGATGGGGGGAGAGACTCTGGAGGGCCCAGTATGCCTCGGAAAGGCCGGGCTCCCTGCCCAAGCTCGGTAAGAATTGTCAGAGGAAAACAGTGAAGCCTCAAACCAGTGAGGGGCCTTTCCGGGGGCGGGCCCCTGTGGGAAGGCCCAGACACATGCCCAGGAAGTGACCGTCTGTCTTCTCTGCCCCAGACCCTGTTCATGAAGCTTCACGACCCAGAAGCCGTTTCCCCCAAGACGCAGGCCAGGCTGCCCATCAGTACAGCACAACGCTCAGCCCCTCGATGAGAGCTATGAGCCTGGGAGAAAGAGACCCTGGAACTGGAGAACACAGCTGCAGGACAGGCAGAACCCCAGACTTGGGGAGCCAGTGAGAAGATGGGGTTCAGAATGGACAGCCTCAATGAGCCAACCTCGCTCAGAAAGAGGCTGGGGACAGGTGGATGCTGCCAGCCCTGGCCTGGTGCTCTCTGACTCCATAAACCTTTGGTGACCTGCTTGCTTCCTGCCCTCTGGCCATCTTGTAACCCCCAGGCCTGGGGTCCCTCCCTTGAGTTGCCTTCCACTGTGGCTGCCTGCTGTGGTTTGAACGTTCATGTTCCTACAAAGTTCATGTTGAAACTTAACCCTATTCCAGTAACATTAAGAAGTGGAGGCATCTGGGAGGTGATGAGGTCACCAGACTTCATCCCAGCAGTTCTCAACCTGTGTGTCGCAACCCCTTTTGGGCCAAATGACCCTTTCATAGGGATCTCCTAAGACCATCCTGCATATCAGATATTGACATTACAACTCATAACAGTAGCAAAATTACAGTTATGAAGTAGCAATGAAGATAATTTTATGGTTGGTGGTCACCACAACGTGAGGAACTATATTAAAGGGTCACGGCGTTACGAAGGTTGAAAACCACTGCTTCACCCCGATCCCTAGACCCTATTCCTGAAGCCTCACAACCTCTGCCCTCATAAATGGGATTAGTGCCCTTGCAAAGGAGCCCTATTTTGCCCTTCCACCACGTGAGGACACAGAAATAAGCCCCTTCTTTGAAGCTGAGGCCAAGCTCTTGCTACACACTCCATCTCGGGGACCTTGATCTTGGCCTTTCCTGCCTCCAAAACTGTGAGCAAGAAATGTCTGTGTTTATAAGGCATTTTGTTATAGGAAGCTCAGCTCTGTCCCACTCTTTTTTTTCCAGTTTAATCAAAGATTTCTATTTTTATTTTTTATTGTTTTTTATTATTAAATCATAGCTGTGGACCTTAATACTAGTGTGCTGTTTCTATATACAATTTGAAATACTTTCATCCAACTGGTTAACATAGCCTTCATGTCATTTTCTTAGTTATTGTGTTAAGACATTTATATTCTACATTTAGAGAGATTCACATGTCCCTTATAGGATGAACTACAGGCGTGATCACATCAATCACCCTCCCTACACCCATCCTCTCCCCTCCCCTCCCCTCCCTCTCCCCTTTCCTCATATTCTTGAGCTAAAATTGGGTTATAGTTTTTTTATGAAAGCTATAAATTAGTTTCATAGTAGGGCTGAGTACATTGGATACTTTTTCTTTCATTCTTGAGATACTTAGAAGAATATTTTCCAGCTCCATCCATGTAAACATGAAGGAGGTAAAGTCTCTATCTTTCTTTATGGCTGCATAGTATTCCACGGTGTACATATACCACAATTCATTGATCCATTTGTAGGTTGATGGGCACTTGGGCTTCTTCCATGACCTAGTGATCATGAATTAGGCTGCAGTGAACATTCCAATACAAATACCTTTATTGTAGTGTGATTTTTGGTCTTCTGGATATATACCTAGTAGAGGAATTATAGGATCAAATGGCAGGTTTATTTTTAGATCTCTAAGTGTTTTCCAGATGTCTTTCCAAAAGGAACGTATTAGTTTGCTATCCAACCAGCAGTGTAGGAGTGTTCCCTTTTCTCCACAACCACGCCAGCATCCTGTGATTTGGGGATTTTGTGATATGGACTAATCTTACTGGTGTTAGATGATATCTCAGAGTAGTTTTGATTTGCATTTCTCTGATGATTAAGGATGGTGAGCACATTTTCATATCTGTAGGCCGTGCGCCTGTCTTCTTCAGAGAAGTTTCTCTTCAAGTTCCTTGCCCACCCTGAGATGGGATCATTTGTTCTCTTCTTGCTAATACGTTTGAGTTCTCTGTGGGTTCTGGTTATTAAACCTTTGTCAGAGACATAACCAGCAAATATCTTCTCCCATTCTGAGGGCTGCCTGCTGCTTTACTTACTGTGTTCTTGGCTGTGCAGAAGCTTTTTAATTTGGTGAGGTCCCAGTAGTGTATTTTTGATGTTGCTTCAATTGCCCAGGGGTTCTTCCTCATAAAATTTTCACCCAGGCCAATTTGTTCAAGTGTTTTCCCTACACTTTATTCTAGTATTTTTATAGTTTTATGTCTTAAGTTTAAATCTTTAATCCAGTGAGAGTCTATCTTAATTAGTGGTGAAAGGTATGGATCCAGTTTCAGTCTTCTGCAGGTTGCCAGCCAGTTCGCCCAGCACCATTTGTTAAATAGGGAATCTTTTCCCCACTCAATGGTTTTAATTGGCTTGTCAAAGATCAAATAACAGTAAGTAGCTGGGTTTATCTCTTGGTTCTCTATTCTGTTCCATACATCTACCTCTCTGTTTTTGTGCAGATACCATGCTGTTTTGATCACTATGGATTTATAGTATAGTCTGATGTCTGGTAGCGTGATTCCTCCTGCTTTGTTTTTATTTCTGAGTAATTTCTTGGCTATTCAAGGTTTTTTCTGATTCCATATAAAACAAAGCATTATTTTTTCAAGATCTTTAAAGTATGGCAATGGAACTTTAATAGGGATTGCATTAAAATTATATATTGCTTTGGGTAGTATGGACATTTTAACAATGTTAATTCTTCCTAGCCATGAGCATGGTATGTTTTTCCATTTGTTAACATTTTCAGCTATTTCTTTTCTTAGCGTTTCATACTTCTCTTTATAGAGATCTTTCTGGATACAAAAACTCAGACCAGATATCTGTTGCATACACGAATCTCATCTTACCTTAAAAGACAAATATAGACTCAGGGTGAAGGGATGGTCATCTATATTCCAGGCAAATGGAAAGCAGAAAAAAGCAGGTGTTGCAATTTTATTCGCAGATACAATAGGCTTTAAACCAACAAAAGCAAGCAAGGATAAGGATGGTCACTTTATATTTGTTGAGGGTAATACTCAATACAATGAGATCGCAATCATTAATATTTATGCACCCAACCAGAATACACCTCAATTTATAAGGGATACTTATAGGGTGACTGTAGAATGAAGACTGTGTCCTCCCTGCAGACACACACAGGCACACATGTGCACACACATACTGGCTTCCCAATGCCCCATTCATCAGAGGGGGCTTTTCCACTCTCACCGTGTCTCCTCCACTTAACTTTATGCACTGGGGCTAATGTCCACTGTGGTGGAGATGGGCTAGCTCATCGTTGGGGCCCAATTAGAAGGGTCATTAAGAAATTCATCTCATTTGGGCACCTGTAGCTCAGTGGCTAAGGCGCCAGCCATATACAGTGGAGCTGGCAGGTTCAAACCCAGCCCGGGCCTGCCAAAAAACAATGACAACTACAACCAAAACATAGTTGGGCATTGTGGCAGGTGCCTGTAGTCCCAGCTACTTAGGAGGCTGAGATGAGAGAAACACTTAAGCCCAAGAGTTGGAGGTCGCTGTGAGCTGTGATGCCACAGTACTCTACTGGACAACATAGTGAAACTCTGTCTCAAAAAAAAAAAAAAAAAAAGAAATTAATCTCTCCTTTCTCAAGGCCATGGAGAAGATCTGGAGGGCAGAGGCCTTGATGGGCTTATCAGCACCTAAACCAGCTCGCAGAACTCACATCTGTCCCTGGAAAGGAAGTCCTAAGGCAGTGTTTGAACTCCTGGCTTCAGTCATTCCTAACGCCCGATCTATTCTTGCCCTTGTCCTTTAGCAGAGCTCATAAGTCCTTTCATGCTGCTTCCCCAGTGCAGCTTGCTCCTTCCCAAGCCCACCCCCGAAGGCATTGGAGACCCTATTCAGCCTGCCTCTCCTCTGCTCCCAAGGCCTCCCCTGCCAGCCTGCGCCTCAGTGCCCTGTCTTGCCATTTACTCCCTTTCTCTCTGTATTCGAGACTCCTCTGGCGGCGGGCAGGCTTCCTTTCTTCCTTTGGGATGCCACGCCATCCTCTCATTCCTTTTCTCTCTTCCCCCATCTCCTTTTCTCTCACTCCCTGCCTTCTGCCCTCCTTCTCTCTCTTTCTCATCTCTTCCCCCCACTATCTTCCCCGTCTCTAAAATAAAATAAACTTATACTTTTACAGTTTAAAAAATAAGACTCATTTGGTTACAGAAGATGGAAATCTGGGTGGTGGGGGGAGGCTGCTTCAGCACAGACCCGGATGTGTCCTTTTAACAGGTGGACCAAGGCACAGATTCTACTTCAGGGATGTCTGGATCCAGGGGCTCAGACAGTGTCCCAGGACTCGGTCTCCCTCCATTACTCTGCTCTGCTCTCCTGTGTTGGCAAAGATGGCCCCTGGCAGCTCTCAGCCTCAGTCCACCAGCTTAGCCATTCAGTGGAAGAAGATCATATTCCCAGCAGTAAAAGCCAGGTTGGATAGCTTTGGTCACATGTCCATCCCTCCACTGGCTGTTGGCCAGAGCAATGGAAAGCTGTGATTGGCCACTTGGTGTCATATGGCTCATCTCTGAATCAGAAGGGGGATCAACCAACCCCATCACATGGCCTGAGGGTGAGAGATGGGCAGTTCACCAAAGTTACCAGAAAAGGATGGCAGACAGGGGGAACTCCAGAAGTCGACTGCAGCCCCCAGCCTGGGATGGTGAATTTACTGGGCTCAGAGGCCTTGCCTTTTCACTCTTCTACCTCCAGAGCACCAGGCATGCAGGATAGGACCTTTCACTGGCCACTTCCTGCAGGCCAAACCCTTTGCGGGCCCCAGGGCTCAGAGAGGGGGACCCAAAGCCCAGCCCTTGATAGCAGCTCATAGTGTGCCAGGCAGGTAGGCACACAGGTGGGCAGTGAGTTGAGAGCAGGAATGATCACAGGGAGCTGTAGGAGTAGGGCCCAGGGGCCCACACACAGCCTGGAGGGGTCCAGGAGGCTTCTGGAGATGGGAAAAGCCCTAGAGCCCCCTCTCCAAGACCAGGAAGAGGTAGGAGGTCAGGTGGGATGGGAGTGGTGGTCTAGGCAGGGACACAGCCAGGGCAGAGGCATGAGGATCAGGCCAGGGTGAGTTACTCAGAGAACCACAGCAATTTCCTTGTTACTGGAAAGGCCAGTGCAGAGACAAGAGGTAGGAGGCTGGCTGGAAAGGGACATGGGGGCCTGGGACTTTAGACTGGACACTGAGTCCTGTACCAGCACAGCCTAGAGGGACAACTGGACAGGTCCATGCAGCGAGGTAGCAAAGTTCTCTCAACCACTGCACTGATCTGGAGTCCCCAGATCATTTTCTCAGGGGATATTCTGTTCTGAGTCTCCAGGTATCAGGGGATGAAAATTGGGTTTCTCTCCTGGGCCTGTCTTCCTTCTGTGTTGAACTGCAAATCAGTTGCCTGCCTCAGAGTTTGCCCAAGGTCTGTGGTTAACCAGACCCCATGTCAGTGGGGAATCCAAATGCAGCTCCAGCTCCAGCCCGAACCAGAATACTCATTTTCCCAGCAAGA